GGGGGAGGTCCAACTTCATTTATATCCAAACCTAATATGTGCTGCAGGTGCAGCATTTGAAACAAATAACGGTGTTGTTTTTGGTTTGGTTTGGCTACCACATTTCAGCGGTGGGGAAACTTGGAGACGGTCTTGTATTCAACACTCACCAGTAGGCTAAATCGTAGTTCTGCATTTTTATGCACTTTGGCATGCTGCAGATCCTATCCCTGTCTCTTAAGAAATCCCATCAGATTCAAAACAATTCAAATCATGTTCATTAGGGTTTAGCGTTTTTTTGTGTGTTTCTTCTTTCTTTTTTTTAACAAAAACAAAAACAAAAATTTGGCAGCACGATTACGCCAGATGCTAAAGGTGACACAGAGATAAAGAAGAAGATTGTAATGTTTGCAGAAACTTTTGAGATGAAACCTATCATCTCAAACAGAAACGTAACAGAGAACACAAAAGAGAACTGTGAACGTACACGTGTGGTCAATTCTTTTGCGTGGGTGTGAAAGCTGGACATTGAACACGGACATGGAGAGAGGACTCGAAGTGCCGAGAGGTCGTATGTAAGGAGAATACCCAAAATCTCATGGACAGAGAGGAAACAGATTTTTAATAGAAAAGTGCTCTTAATGGCAGGTTGTGAGAGGTCTATCTATAATCAGAAAGATAAGAAAAAGGTAGTTGAGATTCTTTGATCACATCGATAGAGTCTAGATCAAATGAACTAGAAAAACTGTTGCAGTGTGGAAAGATGCAAGGAAAGAAGAACGAAGTAGACAAAGAACGAAATACACAGAAGATGTCCCAAACAACTTTGAATCGAATAACTAAAAATAAAAGAAGAAAAACAGAGCTGATCAAGATGACAGACGACTGGAAGTAACGGCGCACTATGACCGGAAATGTCTGCTCCTGAACGGACACCCTATGAAACATTTGAAAAAGTTTGCTTCTAAAAAAAACGAAATGAGTCATTCTACACGAGTTTAAACAGATAATTGGGCTCTCGTGGTCGAGGGGTTACGGTGTTCGCCTCTCTTTCAATGGCCCAGGGTTCGAATCTGGACCACGGTGGACAATTTTTTCTCTTAAAATGTTCTCCTTTTACCCCCTTTCTTGCTCTCTAAAAATGTTTTGTGCTCTGCTTCCACCTCCACTTTCTGCCACCCCCTTCACCTTCTTTGCCCCGTCTTCTGGGCTTCTGACTCTTTCTGCAACATTTTTACAGATACTTCTTAGTTCCTTCTTACTGCTGTCTTTCAGCCACATCTCTGATCTTATGGTAGGTAAGATCTAACACTTAGTCTTCTCGGATAAGGGTGAAAATTTCGGAGGTCCCGTGAGCAAGTTGCGCAAGTTAAAGATCCCTTGGTGGTCCGAAATTGATAAGAGTAGGCTTCGGCCACCACCCGGGCAAAACTCAAAATTAATTCCTACCAAAATGTTGAATGCGCCCAACACGCTCATAGGATCTTATGCAGTGGTGAGCGCCGTATAACACGTAAAAGCAAACCAAAAAATGAAGTCGAGCACAACCTACAGCGATCATAGTAGAGAGGGACAAAAGAATGAACAAATAAAAAATAACTATACACAGTATGCTAAAGTTAATTATACGCACCTGTCTTCATTCTCTAACATTACAGGAGTAGGAACATTTTTGAGTAGGTTAGACTATATTTCGTTCGGTCTCTTGGCCAACCAGTTCACTTATTGCATTTCGTGATTCCATTAATTTTTTTTGGGGTCTCCTTTTCCAAGGCGACGGGAGATAAATAAATTGTTCTTACAACGAAATACAAAAGTTGATAATTGATTGGTTTAATGCTGTTTCTCAATTTATGAGAGGCACTGCTTCACTTTTGCCTTTCAGAGTCAACGCAGGTTGCTTGAGATGTTACACAAAAGTCGTAAAACTGAACATAGGAAAATGCAATGATTAATCCTTCACACATATGAAGCGTTTTCAAGTCCTTGACATAAGAAGCTAATAAAAGTAAAATGAAGCCCTCAATTCGGAACTTAATTTACCTATTGCGCACATCCGGGGTTTCTAGCCTCAGTACGGCAACACTTGGGTCAACGCTATGTTATTCGCGGAGATGATTTTAGCTTATTTTGAGAATGGGGGGGAGAAAAAGCGGTTT